AAATCTCTCAAGTCCTTGGGGGCACCTGGGTGGCTCAGTCAGTTAAGCATTCGACTCTTGATTTCAGGTCAGGTCATGATCTCACAGTTCATGAATTGGAGCCACGCATCAGGCTCTATACTGGTAGAGCCTACATGGGATTCTCTGTCTCCCCTCTTGCTGCCCCTCCCCCGCTCACTCTGTCTCTCCAAAATAAACGAGTAAACTTAAAAAAAAATTTTTTTTGGGGGGGAAATAAAAAGGGTTTTCTGCTTTTAGTCAAATTATTACAGGCCAGTACAAACCAAACACTTTACCTAGCAGAGGTTTTGCTGAAATTTCAAAATGAGCAGCCAGCTGTAAATACCTAACATTTGTGGATGAGGACATTAGGGCTGTTGACTTTAAGATTTAGGGGCGCCTGGGTGGCGCAGTCGGTTGAGCGTCCGACTTCAGCCAGGTCACGATCTCACGGTCCGTGAGTTCGAGCCCCGCGTCAGGCTCTGGGCTGATGGCTCAGAGCCTGGAGCCTGTTTCCGATTCTGTGTCTCCCTCTCTCTCTGCCCCTCCCCCGTTCATGCTCTGTCTCTCTCTGTCCCAAAAATAAATAAAAAACGTTGAAAAAAAAAATTAAAAAAAAAAAAAAGAATAAGATTTAATGACACCTTTAACTTTAAATTTTAAAAAAGATTATGAAAAACAGGTGCTTACTCAGTAAAATCTGTTCTTTTATAGACGTGCGCATTCTGTAACAAAAGAGGAGCCACCGTGGGATGTGATATAAAAGCCTGTCTCAAGAGTTACCACTTTTTCTGTGCCAAGAATGCCCACGCAGTTCTACAAACCGATAGATCTCGAGGAATTTATAAGTATTTAATCAATTTTAAAACTACATTTGGGGGAATGGAATAAGGAGTGGTTAGATTAAGACAAACAGATTTTCAAAGATAATGTCATGCAAATGGTTTCCAAGTAAGAATATGGTTTGGGGGATGCTCAGTTGGGAACCTGAACTCACGATACCTTCCCTAAATCTAATAGAAGGAAAATAAGCAGGGTTGGTTTTGATTTTATTCTTCCTACATCCTTTCCTTCCTGGTAAAAAGTGCTGGTTGCCATAGTGGCATGAGTGACCTAATGGGTGGCCACAGGACGTTGACTATTGCCCTCTTCTCCTAACAGGAGCCTTACTTGTTGGCCACAAGTCCATGGTTTATCCATCTTGTCTGCTGAATGCTTTTTTCCCACCGCCATCTTACATATAAACAGCTTTTAAAAATGATAAACTATGCAGCAAATACAGTAATCAGTCATTGAGTCCTTGAAGAAATTAATTCTATTTGAATTGTCTTTGGCTGTTAAATCTTGCTTCTCTTCTTTCAGTGATTCTTTAATGGTAATTTGGACCCAGTATGGCATGTTTCAAGTCCAATAGAATTGTATTTGTTTTATCAATGAAGAAACTTGATCTTCCTTCTGATGAAAGATGGCAGTTCAGTTATATAAGACAATTTAGTCAGATGGAATCAGTAAGCCAGATGTTAACTGACCTGATTCAATTGATTACCCTTTTTTGGTATGTAGATGCAGTCTAAAACATGACATATAAAGTTAAGAAAATATCTAGAAGAAGTTTTGACTTTTTTTCAAGTTATGGAATGGAATAAAAAAGAAAATGATGGCTTGAAGAGCCAGACAGACACTTCTCACTTCCTTAGGGCCTGTGCATACATTCTGATTGAATATTTTAAATTTCAGTGGAGTATATATTTTTATTCATAATATTCTGAATGAGAGCACTACGTTTTTAATATGATTTTTGTGAGCTCCTAAGTTATATTTTAAAATTGCATTTATAGGCTAGATTTTTTTCCTCTTTGGGCACATATCTCCAGTTTTATCATTTTGTATTATTTTATCTAATAATCACTTACTTTGTGCCATAAATACTTCCAAGTACTTTACAAATGCTAACTCTTTTAATCTGCCTAACAGCCCAGTGAGGTAGATATTATTACCCCAGCTTTACAGACAAAGACACTGAGTCCCTGCGAGACTAATTTGTCCAGCTCACACAGCTGATGAGTATTTGAGCTGGGCTTTAGGGCTTCATAGGGCTTGCTCCTCACCACAGTACCCTCTTAAGGCTTAGGGGCCATATATTCTAAAACAATAGGGGCAAGCCTACCATTACAAGAAATTTGTTAAAGGCGTGCCTGGGTAGCTCAGTTAAGCCTCCAACTCTTGATTTTGGCTGAGGTCATGATATCACAGTTTGTGAGATCAAGGCCCAAGTTGGGCTTGGTGCTGACAGTATGGAGCCTGCTTGGGATTCTCTCTCTCTCCTTCCCTCTGCCCCCTACTCATGCTCTCTCAAAATAAACTTAAAAAAAAAAATTGACCATTTTAAATCTGATTTTGAGGAAGGTCCATAGGTATTTTATTGTTTGAGACTAGAAAGGAATATATAAATGTTTCTGTACCATCTTCTCTTTATATTTGATTTGTGAAACTCATGGGCTGCAATAGTTTCACTTTTTTTGTTTTTACCTTCCTAAAGAGTTCATTTAATTATGACTTCCATAATGACCTCAAACAACCACTAAACAGACTGTTATTAGCAGACCTATAAGACTGAACAAGAAGGAGTCAAGTTCCTGCTGCATTTTTTTTTTTAATGTTTATTTTTGAGAGAGAGAGAGAGAGAGAGAGATGGAGCATGAGCTGGGGAGGGGCAGAGAGAGACAAAATCTGAAGCAGGCTCCAGGCTCCGAGCTGTCAGCACAGAGCCTGACTTGGGGTTCGAACTCAGGAGCTGAGATCCTGCCCTGAGCCAAAGTCAGACGCTTAACCGACTGCACCACCCAGGCACCCCACCCTTTTTTTATGTTCATTAATCGAGATCATGACCTCAGCCAAAATCAAGAGTCAGAGGCTCAACCAACTGAGCTACCCAGGCACCCCAAGTTCCTGCTATATCTTAAAGTTTGCAAAAATACTGATCTTGTATTAGTAGAACCAATGAATAGAGACTCACTAAAATCATTTTTGTCATCAAGTATCAGGTGAATTTCTATGGATTTTTTTTAATTGAATTTAAACATTCAGTTGTTAGAGTGCCTGTCATACATAAGACATCTTGTTAGGTGTAGTAAGACTAGGAAGAGACACAGGACATGGACTAAGCCTCAGAAAACCTATCACCTTGCTGAAGGACCAGAAAGGCCAGATTAGAAGCATGTGGCACGATGGGAGCAGGAAGGGATTCACATGACACTGGCTTGGCCTTGAGTTGATAATTGTTGAAACTAGGTGAGGGGTGGGGGCCATGACGTTCATCATCTAACACTTTTATATATGTTTGAAATTCTTCATAATAAAAAAAGAAATGAAAGTGCTCAGATACTGGAATTCAAAGGGTGAGGAGATTAGCTTTGCTTGGGCAAATGGTGGATTTCCAGGAAGATTGCTTGGAAGAGGTGGAAACTGGTGTAAGACGAGAAGAATTCATATGTTCTCTTAGGCAACAGGGACCCTGCTTCCTGAGGGTCAGCACAATAAGGAAAGGAAGGGAGACGTAGCTGGAGGCTAAGGAGGAAGAAAGCCTGGGGAAAAAATGGGGCCTGAGCAGCTCCTCAAAACTCACTCCATTTCTTCTTCATAGTGTGCTATGCTGCTTTCTTCTCTTCCAGTGCATTGATCCATTCTAGATTCGTGCAGTTCAGCCCTAAGTTCTGGGGGAGAGATCTATTGAGTTAGAAAACTACTTTTCCCAAAATTTAAGCATGCAATTTTGTGCTTTTGTTGAAAATCAGTACTTTGTGTAGTCAGATGAAAATTTGTCTTAGACATGGGAGCTCCTGATATCTTTATACAGTAAAATCCCACTGACTACTATATATGAACTACTTATTATTCAAAATATTTCATACACGCTCCTTCAGAGAGCGTACTCGAGGGCTGAGAACGCAAAAGACATCTGACAGAGGTGCCGTCTGCACTTGATGAGCGTAACTTACACAGGTGTGGACAGTATTTTTCTGTAACAGATATTTAGGGTAAAGTCATCATGAAAAATAGGTTAGTTCCTTTTTAAATCATAGGAAAATTGGCATATTTTAAAAGTGTAAGTAAAAATATTAACAATTCTTTGAAATTGCCTGTTTTCAGAGTGTTCTGCCAACAACACGCTGCACTGAAAGACACTCATGATGGTACGTCTCTAAAATTTAGTACTGTGTGTTTAAAGAAAGGTATACATTTAGGTAAAACATGGAAGTCTGATTTACTAGCCTTACTGAATTAAAAAGTTTTTGAGTTAAATTTTTACCTGTTTATAAAATTGCCAGTCTCTCTGTGCAGTGTGCAATGTTAATGGACTAACTTTTCTTCTGTGCACCTACTTTCAGGAAAGTCTCTGTCTGGTATCTCCCCTACTCACTACAAGCAGAAGACCAACCAAGGATATGGTAAAAAGCTTTGACTTTTGTGACTGCTTCTCTTCTAAACGAGTTATCAGAATTTTCAGTAGATAACATTGATAAATTGCTGCATGCTCCCTGAATTTTTCTCAAGATTCGTGGTTAGCATTTCAGTTCTAATTAAGGAAAAGTGGGCCCTGGCTAACTGAAGTAATGGGATGTACATTCATTCATGAATGGCCTCTGTGTACCCTGACCAGCAATGTCTTATCAGCACTAAATCTGGAATGCTCACTGTGGACCAGAGTCAGGACCTCTTTGGAAAGGCTTAGTTCCATGTTCTAGCAACTGCATTTTTTTGGTAGTAAACAACACTCTAAACAATGTTGTTCATTTTTCAGTCATTACCCTTTTATCAGAAAGTACTATCAGGGGCGCCTGGGTGGCTCAGTTGGTTAAGTGACTCAGTGATTTTGGCTGAGGTCATGATCTTACAGTTAGTGAGACTGAGCCCCACGTTGGGCTCTGTACTGACAGCAAGGAACCTGCTTGGGATTCTCTCTCCCCCTCCCTTTCTGTCCCTTCCCTGTTCACACAGGTGTGCTTGTTCTCTCTCAAAATAATTATTTAAAAAAAAAATAAAATTATAGGTACTTGGGTGGCTCAGTTGGTTAAGCGTCCAACTTTGGCTCACGTCATGATCTCGCAGTTCGTGAGTTCGAGCCCCACGTCAGGCTCTGTGCTGACAGCTCAGAGCCTGGAGCCTGCTTCAGATTCTGTGTCTGCCTCTCTCTCTGCCCCTCCCTTGCTCATGCTCTGTCTCAGTCTCAAAAACAAAACATTAAAAAAAATTTTTTTTAAGAAATTACTATTAAAAATATAGCTGTTGACCAATGTTTATTTTTAAAAAAACATTTAAAGTTTATTTTGATAGAGAGTACAAGTGGGGGAGGGGCAGAGAGAATCCCAAGCAGGCTCCACACCAGTGTGAGGCTCAAACCCCCAAATCGTGAGATCATGTCCTGAGATGAAGTGGGAGGCTAACCAACTGAGCCACCCAGGTGCCCCAATCAGTGTTTATTGATAGGGAAAGGTAACAATGTATTAGTTTTATTTTTAAAGAAATTTAAAAAATCAATAGTTTTGAAAAGCAGATGAGAACACTGTTATGAATCCTCTCCCCAGAGGAAACTATCAGTTTCATTTGTATTCCTCTAAAAGTTTCATGTATATACAAAATATAGTAGTAACTATATTTTCTTTTCACCCACTGTATTTTAGAGATCCTTCCATGTCCATACAAATACACATACCTTGGTTTTAAAAGGCAGCATGTTATTCCAGTGTATCAGTTGCATAGCTGAATTACAACTGAACTAGTTTCTGCATAATAGACACTTAGGTTATTTCCATTTTATTTTGAGAGTGAGCTAGAGCACACATGCGGGCAGGGGAGAGGCAGAGAGAGAGAATCTTCAGCAGGCTCCATGCTCAGTGCCGAGCCTGATGCCAGGCTCAGTCCCACAACCCTGGTATCATGGCCTGAGCCAAAATCAAGAGTTGGACGCTCAACCGACTGGGTCATCCAAGCGCCCTTTTTTCCATAATTTTCTATCACATTAAATAATGTAGTTAACATTTTTTCCCATTCATCGTTGTGCCTTTATGAGCCGTACCATTTCGAAAACTTCATGTAGCTTGCTGGGTCCAAGAGTATAAACAATGAAGCTGTGGTAACAATGGGCTAATTACCTTCCAAAGAGGCTGTAATACCAGCAGTACACAATTATCCCAATCCCTCCAAACATTATATATTAAACACCTTCATCTTTGTCAGTCTGGTAGGAGAAATATTTTGCATGTCTTCACTTAGGAGTAAAGGTGAATGTATCCCCCTGTCTTTTCATCAATTATATTTGTTTTCCTGTGATCCAGTCTTTCTCTTTAATGAACTCTTCCTAGAGGGTCCCCCCCTTTGCCCATTTTTCTGCTTTTTATATTGATTTATATTTAGATTTTAAAAATTGGTACTTTATCATATGTGTTGCAAACATTTAGTCTAAGTCCACCATATCTTTCGACTTTGTAATAACTTTTAGCATACAGTTTTATATTTTATGTAGTCAAGCATCTATCTTTTCCTTTATGGATTCTGGATTTCCTACAGGATTCATATTTTCAACTGATTTTTCAGGACTGAAAAGAAAGAGAGGAAGAAAGAAACGCCTCTCAACAGGCGTTCCTGTACAGGTAATTTGACTTCATTTTATTATAGCTTTCAGTTTCTTTACACAAAGTCCTTATTTTAACAGTTCTAAAACAGTTCTAAACAGAAGTTCTACATACCAGGTGATATGGTACCAGAAGCGTAAGGTGAATGTAAAAGAAAAGTGGGCTGTGTCTTGGGTATCCTAGCACATGACCTGCAGGAGGTGACAGGTCCCATGGCTCCTGTAACACATGCCCTGGGACCTCATCAGTGAGAGTGTCTAAGTGCACCGTGCACTTATGGTCTTAATGTGGGCAAGGTGCAGCAAAGCATCCTTACCTAGCCAAGTATTTCTCAGTTGCACGATCCACACTTGACCTACCTTATAACTCATAATTTTCTGCATTACTATTATGTGTAAAGTGTATGAAGTAATTTGGGAACTTGAAAGTTTTTTATGTATCAGCTCATATGAGCTAAATGAATATGAGCTAGCAACCTTTCACCTCTTGCTGTTTATACAACAGGAGCTAGTCACAACTCGTGATGTTTTGTTATACAGAAATACATTTGATGTTTACATGTAAACTATCAATGAATATGGGGCATGATTTTCACCATGGGCATATTGATGAATTACATGCAACAAAACATTGGTTTTCATTTTATGCAACATTAAATGCCAACAGTAAGTGTAATCTTGATTCTTCTCTCCCTCTAGCCATCTGAAACAATGACATTCAATAGATTCATACAAGAAATGAAGGAAGAGAGCAGACACACAGGTTTGCTATAAATTTTGTAACAAATAGGACTTACAATACTTATAACAATGAAGACATTTATTTCAAAGTTGGTATCCCACATTATTCTTCTGTGGTAATTGTTAGAATAGGAACTTTTTTTGTAGCTGTCCACTCTATCATAAGGCCAGCAGATCAAAGAAATTTTAGGTAGGGATGGTCCATTGTTCTTAGTACAAAGAAAGGATATACTTCCTGATCTAGAAGCCAAGGTTACCTGAGCTCAGAATCCAGTGACATGCTGCCCCTTGCACTGTACCCTCCACTCCCCCCAGGAAGCTGAAGCCAGTAATTACAGGTTTCTGTCAAGGAAACAGACATTCCATCATGACACACAATTATTGTGACAGAAAAAAAAATGATGGGAGGCTATCAAAGATTTGAAACTAAATTTTAGAAAATCCTCTTGATTCACAGAATTAGTTGTAACATTGTTTCAGCTAGGGAAAAAAATGAGGCATGGTGAAAATTACAATTAAAAGACAAAGGTGCTGTATTTATTATCTTACTAATTGTGCTCCTCCATCACTAGGCAAGGTCTGCAGAAGTGACCACACAGGGATTGATGATAGCAGCCCTGAGACCATTTCCTTCTAAAATGTGTTTCTTATTTTTAGATGCAATTAGATCAAGTGTGAAAATTGATTTTCTTAAGAAATGTAAGAAAGTGGGGCTTCTTGATGATTTATTTGAAGAAATATTAGACAAACTTCATTTGATTCAAGAAAGACTCATGGATGAGACTGCTTCCGAATCAGGTATTGAAATAGCAACATTTCTACATGTAGAGGCTTCTCACAAACCTACCTGTAAAACAAAAAGTGCACCTTTTCTTTCTGTGTGGTTTCTTTTTCTTTGCCTTATCTCATTCTTTGATACAATTCAATGCTTCAGATCTCTAGAGATCCTGTTTATAATAAATCAGTAGGATGTGGGTAATTCAGAAACTTAATGCAGTCAAAAGCATCCTAATGCCCTAAAAGTTTCGATGTACTTTCCAGAAGTGTGTAGCTGAGAGTGACCCCCAACGGGATAGGTATGTTCAGAACCACACGCAGTCATACAGCCAACAACTTGTTGCCAACATCTGAAAATGGCGTTTAGTTTTGATTTGACTCAAATTCTATTCCTTACATCTCTGTTTATAATGTTAACTCAAAATTCACTGAAGGAAAAGTAAGGCTTTGATGTTTCATTTAGTTAAATGTGACCTTTTGTAAAAAAGCTGTCTGGGAAGCCAAAGTTCCATTTATATACAGTGTACATAAGCTCACGGTGTAGGTGCTAAGAAGGCAAAGTGGCAGTGTATAGCCACTTTGCCTTCTTAGCACCTACACCGTGAGCTTCTAAACTTCATGATAAATGGAGTTATCTTACAAGGAAAAGCTCGACAAGTCTAGACTCTAGGCAACAATGTAAAGTATATGATTATCTGAGAGGGATTTTTTTTTTTTAATTTTTTTTTTAACGTTTATTTTTGAGACAGAGACAGAGCATGAATGGGGGAGGGGCAGAGAGAGAGGGAGACACAGAATCGGAAGCAGGCTCCAGGCTCTGAGCCAACAGCCCGACTCGGGGCTCAAACTCACGGACCGTGAGATTGTGACCTGAGCTGAAGTCGGACACTCAACCGACTGAGGAACCCAGGCGCCCCTGAGAGGGATTATTTTCAACACAACAAAATCAAAAAGTGAAATTATGAAGACAAAAGCTCACTCATGACATTCTTTCATTCATTTCTTTACTTTAGACCAAGCACTTCTCAAACTTGAACTTGCCTCTCAGAATCCCTGCAGGGCTTGTTAAAACACGTACCTGAGCCTCACCTAGCCACAAATTTGCATTTCTAACACGTCCCCAGGGGATACTGCTGCTTCAGCAGTCTGATCCTGACAGATACCACAGTTCCCCCGTGCTTGGCTGCTCTGGTTACTTTTCCTTATTTGGGGTTACTTTGTAAGGTGTTTCTGCCTACATAAATTATTTAAATTAAAACTGAAAATGTTTTTCTCCCTACAGACTATGAAGAAATTGGGACTTCACTTTTTGACAGTAGATTGTTTGAAGACACATTTGTAAATTTTCAAACAGGTACGTGAGTTATAACTGAGCAGCACAGTTTATAAATATATATATTAAAGTAATACACTACTATGCAGCAGATAAAAATCCTATTTCAGAAGAATTTTGTCTTATTAAATGAAAAAGCCCATTGCAAAGCATTATGACCCCTCACTCACACACACAACAGAAAAAGTGCACCCCAATGGAAACCGTCGTTCTCTGTAAGTGGCTGGACAGTGCCACATTACATTTTCCACATATACACAGTATCTTAGTAATCAGTAAAAACTCCATTTTTTGTTTCTACTTTTTTAAATGATTGCAAAATGGGAGGTATTCGGTCCCCTTATTCAGGACTCAGCCGGAACTGGTGAGGCAGCAAGGCTGTGATAAACTCCATGGCTGCTTGACTCCCTCCCTGGACTTAATGTGTACAAATTTTAATTCTCTCGGTATTGTTGGAATTCATTTATTCTCAAGTTTTAAAAAAAACTTTTGAAAAAGAAGAAAGCCTGGAGGGGGCAGAGACTTAAATGGTTGCTATTTTACAGAAAGGTTTTATTGAATCATTATATTGTATACCTGAAACTGATACGACATTGTATGTTAATAATACATCAACCATTTACTGAGTAGGTCCTTGTACCATTAACATGCTTTCAAAACTGACTAAATTTCCACTTACAACCTCTCTCTCAAGCTGCCCCACACAGCTGGACAGGCTGGGCACTGCATATCCTGGCCAGAGTGGAAGACACACATTCGCACAGAATTTGGTGTAAATAGCTCCCCCTAAAGTTGTACACTGTGCCCTACACTCCATTCAAATTCTGTATTACATTTTTAATCAGAAAAACCAGCATATCCTTTAATAGTCTCTTGAGAATGCATACTGCTAATGTGAGTATCCATATATTTTTTAAAGCAGCCTTTAAAATTTTTAAGCCTAATTTTGTAGGAGACTTTCATATAAAAGTTACATTTCTAGCACCTGTCACTACTTGCATAGGTTGAGAGTATACACATTACAGTGTAGTATTTGGAAGGTGTGGGTCACCAAGAGGAGGCATTATTTGGAATTGCATTAGAACTTAAAAGGCCTAACTTTTGACATCTCATCTTGCTTAATTTAGCCTTTCTAATGTTCAAGAAAGTTAACTACAGGTATTCTAGAGAAAGATTATGTAGGTGTGTGTTTTAATATTCTTCAACTTATAAGTTTTCAAAAAATGACATTGTCACTGAGTAATATTGTTATTTACAGAGCCTGTTTCCACAATAAAAGCCTTCCTATTCCTAAATAAAATCAAAAGCTTTTACATAACATTAAAAATTGGATGCAATTTTATAAATGATTTGCCCTTAACCTTGCTATTCTACACACATGCTCTCTCCACTTAACAGATATAGTGTAGCATGAAGATAATACAGTCTCTGCTTTTGAGTTCTCAAAGATAGTCAAGCTCTAAAGATGTACTGACCAGCTGTATGTGATAAATACTAGAATTCTATCCTGAATTAGAAGAGGAAGAAAAGGCATATAAGAACCAGTCCCTCTGCACAGCACTGTGTACTACTGTGCACTTGCATGTAAAAGGGGCTAGAAATAGTCCATTGTTTATAAAACTACCAACCTGAAATCATTTCATTTCTTATCACAGCAATAGAGAATAAAATTGATCAATGTGAAGAAAGGCAGAAGCAACTGAAGGAAGAGATTGAAGGACTTCAGGACTTAAAAAAAACCTTGCGGTCTCTTCAAGAAGATAGAGAACTCAGGTCAAGTTCTACTTCAGTATCTTCTGGGTCTTCTAAGGACTACTATTTCCTGGGCCAGGAATGAGGCTCAGCTGCAAGCAGGCAGCGAACGGAAGATCTAACCTGTGGAAGCCACACATCTTTAGACCTACGCCTCTCAGGTCTCTCTGGTCCTCAAACTTCAATCCTCATCAACTCTTACCTGTTCCTACATTTCATGCCTGACTGGGTATTTACTGCCTCCCTCTTATCATCTCACTTCTGTTCTCCAACAACATGTTTCTCAGATTCTACTTGAGTAAATTAGATTATACCTCCCATCTCTCCCACCCTCTGTCCTGAAAGTCCTATGGTGGCTTCATGCTGGTGCATTGCCTCCCATGCTTCCCCCACTCCAGTGATCTAAGTTGACTTCAATAACATACAAGATGCTCCTGGAAGTAAAGGCTCCCCCCCAGGGCCTTTGCTTGTCCTGCTGTGAAGCCTTAACTACTCTGTTTCCTTTCTCTGCCTGTTCTGCCTGCAGAGCTCATTACACCAGTTCTACCCCTTCTTCCCTCTGAGATCACTTCCCAAGATAACCCATTGTATCTTACATCCCACCGTTAGGGTATAAATTCTGAGGGCAAAATCTCACTATTCCTGTGATTTGCTCTCAACACATTCCCAGCACCTATGATGCTCAATAAATGCATAAACTGTTATTATCCTTTGAGACTCGTTCCAGCTCATAATGACTCAGATAAAGCAAATTTGAATATTTTACTCCGCTTATCCCAAATTTACCTGTCATCACAAAGTCTGCTTTTTATTTTTGGGTTTTTTAAGTTTGTTTATTTGAGAGAGTGCGCGTGCAAGGGAGGGGCAGAGAAAGAATGAGACAGAATCTCTAGCAAGCTCCACGCTGTCAGCACAGAGCCAGAAGTGGAGCTCACACTCACGAACCGTGAGATCATGACCTGAGCCAAAATCAAGAATCAGACGCTTCACTGACAATCACACAGGTGACCCGACAAAGCCTGCTTTTTAAATTTCTTTTTGGCTGCAGTCACTACATGGGCGTATATCATCTTTAACATAAGTATTTCAATTTAAAATGACTACAAAAGAACATCAGTGGGAATACACAAGAATGAAAAACAATCACTAAGACTTTTCTCTGACAATACAATTTGGATTTTTATGCACCAAATCTGATCCCTGAAAACCTGACATTCATATTTCTTTTTACCACACTACTCTGATACACAATAATGCCACATTGCAAAATGAGTTTGATCCAAGTCCCCAGCATGGTGGCTCACATGTTTTAAGTACTCAAAAAATGTCCACTGAATGAAGAATAGGATATAGGTGAAAAGTACATGTCCATTCCTGTTTTAAGGGCAACCCTAGCTGAATTCATAATTACCTGAGTGACAAAAATCTAAATCTAGTGGCTTTTAAATTCAGCTGCACATCAGAATCACCCAAGCATTTAAGAAACTACAGGAGGGAGTCAAGGAAGATAGCAGATTAGGAAAGATCCTGAGCTCACCTCCCAGAGACACACCAAGGCAACAAGCATATGTACTACAACTCTCTGTGAAAACAACCTGAAGACTGGCAGAACAGGTCTTCCACCGACAGACCTAGAGAGGCGGCTACATGGAAAAGGGTAGGAGGAGGGGTGCTTGCCTGGCTCGGTCAGTTAAGTGTCTGACTCTTGATTTGCGCTCAGGTCAAGATCTCACAGTTCCTAAGTTCAAGCCCCGTGTCGGGCTCCACATTGACAGTATGGAGCCTACTTGGGATTCTCGCTCTCCTCTCTCTGTCCCTCCCCTACTCGCATACACACACACACTCTCAGAATAAATCAATAAAAATTAAAGAAAAAAGGGGAGGAGGGGCAGAGACACAATCAGTAGCCACACCCCTGGTATGACTACCCACTAAATAGTAGGGACATCTTAGGCACAAAGGAGCAGGGGTCCCAGGCCCTAAACTGGGCACCCCCCACCCTGGGGATCCACACTGTAAAGGCAGGTTCCTCTTTGAAAATCAGCAGGGCTGAATTCTGGGAGCTTTAAAAACCAATGGGGCTTCACTTGGGGAGAGCCAGAGAGCTATAGGAAATGGAGTCTCTGCCCTTAAATGGCCAGCACATTGAATGATGACCTAAGACACTGCACAGATTCAGTGGTCTGGAAGATGCCTGGGATACAGCGAACGATTTAGTGACTGACTTTAGGATATGTGCCAGAGAGGCAGGGATCTGCACAATTCGTTTGTTCTCCAGGAACAGAAGTGTTTGCTGGTGTTTTCCTTGCCTTCCCCAGCCCTAGACAGCCAGAGGCTTTCAGGAGTCAGTTCTGACACTGTCCATCTACCTTGCCATCACCATGTACCCTGCCCCTACGTTCTCCTGAGGAACCTATCCATCCAACCCATCTACCCCACACACACCTGCACTGCCACATCCAGCAGTGTGTTGTTCACTTACATAACTAGTAAAAATTGGCCAAGGGGTAACACAAAATAAAAACATGTGAAATAGGACATCGTATACAAAAAACATGGAAGAGGCAGTAAAAATTTAGCGCCATTGTGTGTCTGAACTGACCATCAACTCAGTATAGACTGCTAAACACATGGGATGTTACATGAGAACCCCCTGGGGTAACCACAAATCAAAAACCTGTAATAAATACACAAAAAATTGGAATCACACAAGAATTCCACACAAAAGATTGGAATCCAAGCATGACACTAAAGAAAGTCATCAAACCACATGGGGAAAGAACAAGAGAAGAAGAAAGAAACAGAACTACAAAAACAACTAGAGAACAATTAACAAAATGGCAAGGAGCACATACCCATCAATAATTAAATGTAAATAGACTAAATGTTCCAATCAAAAGAGTGAATGAATGGATAAAAAAAAAAAAAACAAAAAACAAGACCCATCTATATGCTGCCTACAAGAGACTCACTTCAGACCTAAAGACACATACAGACTGAAGGTGAAGGGATGAAAAAATATTTATCTTGCAAATGAAAGTAAAAAGGCTGGGGTAGCAATACTCATATAAGCAGGGAAGGGACCGAGACAGAGGGAAAGAGAGAATCCCAAGCAAGCTCCACACTCAGTATGGAGCCCAGTGCGGGGATCAATCTCACAACAGTGACATCATGATGTGAGCCAAAATCAAGAGTTGGATCCTTAAGTGACAGCCACCCAAGTGCTCCACCAAGCCACCTCACATAAAATAGACTTTAAAGCAAAGACTGTAACAAGAGACAAAAAGGTCATTACATAAGGATAAAGGGATCACTCTCGTAAGAGGATATAACAATTTTAAGTATTTATATACCTAACATAAAAACACCTGAATATATAAAGCAAATACTAACAGACATAAAGGAAAAAGCTGACTGCAATACAATAACTGTAGGGGACTTTAACACCCCACCTATACCAATGGATACCTTGCTCATTGAGACAGAAAATCAGTAAGGAAACAGTGGCTCTGAATGATACATGAGACCAGATGGACTTAACAGACATATACATAACATTCCATTTAAAACTGCAGAATACATATTCCAGTGCACATGGAACACTTTCCAGGACAGAGCACATGACAGGTCACAAAAAAGCCTTCATAAATTTAATAGACTGAAATCATATCAAGTATCAAGTGAAATTATACCAAGGATGTATCACAAATTATATCCAACCATACGAGACTAGAAATCAATTACAAGACAAGTGGAAGAAACACAAACATGTGGCAGCTAAATAACATGTTACTAAACAATGTATCAACAAAAAAATCGAAGAGAAAAAATACCTGGAGGCAAATGAAAATGGAAACATGGTAATCCAAAATCTTTGGGACACAGAAAAAGCAGTTCTAAGAGGGAAGTTTATAGCAATATAGGTCTACCTCAAGAAACAAGGAAAATCAACAATTTAACTTTACACATAATGGAACTAGCAAAAGGAGAACATAGCCAAAACTTAGCAGAAGAAGAAAATAATAAAGATCAGAGAAGAAATAAATGAAATAGAGACCAAAAAAAAAAAAAAAAAAAAAAAAAAAAAAAAAAAAAAAAAAAAAAAAAATTTCAATGAGACTAAGAGCTGGTTCTTTGAAAAGACAAACCAAAGTGATAAACTTTTAGCCAGACTCATCAAGAAAAAAAGAAGACTCAACACACCAGTCAGAATGGCTAAAATAAACAACTCAGGCAACAACAGATGTTGGCGAGGATGAGGAGAAAGAGGATCTCTTTTGCATCATTGGTGGGAACACAAGCTGGTGCAGCCACTCTGGAAAACAGTATGGAGGTTCCTTAAAAAATTAAAAATAGAACTACCCTATTACCCAGCAATTGCACTACTAGGTATTTATCCAAGGGATACAGGTATGCTGTTTCGAAGGGGACACAGGCAGCCCAATGTTTATAGCAGCACTATTGACAATAGCCAAAATATGGAAAGAGCCCCAACTGTCCATTGATGGATGAATGGATAAAGATGTGGTGTATATATACAATGGAGTATTACCTGGCCATCAAAAAAGAATGAAATCTTGCCATTTGCAACTATGTGGATGGAACTAGAGGTATTATGCTAAGCAAAGTAAGTCAGAGTAAGACAAAGTATGACTACACTTATGTAAACAATCTAAAAAACAGAACAAATGAACAAACAACAGAAAAGAGAAACAAACTCATTAACATAGGATGACTGCCAGAGAGGAAGGGGACAAGGAGACAGGCAAAATAGGTGACAAGGATTAAGAGGTATAAACTTCCAGTTATAAAATAATTAAGTATGGGGATGAAGAGTACAGTATAGGAAATACGGTCAGTAGTACTGTATTAACTGTGTGATAAGGGATGGTAAATACACTTACCATGGTAAGCATTTCATAATGTACATAATTATCAAATTACCTACTGAAAACCTGATATATGCCAATTATACTTCAATTTTTAATTTTTTTAATATTTATTCATTTTTGAGAGAGAGAGACAGAGCATGAGTGGGAGAGGGGCAGAGGGAGAGGGAGACACAGAATCCGAAGCAGGCTCCAGGCACTGAGCTGTGAGCACAGAGCCTGACATGGGCTCCAAACTCACAGACCATGAGATCATGACTTGAGCCAAAGTCAGATGCTCAACCGAACCACCCAGGCGCCCCAACTATGCTTCAATTTTTAAAACCACTGAATTGTACACTTAAAAATGGTTACAAGGGGGGCACCCGGTTGGCTCAGTCAGTTGAGCATCCGACTCTTGATTTCAGCTTAGGTCATGATCCCAGGTTGTGGGATCAGAGCCAGTATGTGGCTCCATGATCAATGTGGAACCTGCTTGAGATTCTCTCTTTCCCTCTGTCCCTCTCCTTGAACATGCTCTAAAATAAAAAATAAATGGTTAAAATGGTAAATTCATTTATGTTTTACCACAATAAATAGGAATTCTGAATATAAAAAAAAACTACAGAAGACTCCGTACAGATGCACTGAACGAAGACTTCTCCTGGTCCAGGTGACGACCGGAACTTCCTCTCCTGCTATTATATCCCATAGCAAAGTTTATCTGAGTTTTGATGTCATGATCTTTACTTAAGAGAAAACCTTTGTCCCCCACTTTACCTTCAAATTTAATCTGTCATTCCTACCATGGGAGGCAACTTGGCACAATGGAGCAACATGTGTTTGACAGTCACTAAGTAAGCAAATATTAGGCAAACTATTAAACCTGGGTTTGTACTTGTGCTATGTCATTCACTACCGAAAAACTTCAATCAAATTACTTAATCTGTCTGAGCTTAACTCTACCTACCTTATGCCTTACGGTACAAAACGTGGACACTACAGAAGAAAATATGTGAAGCATAGGGCATAATGTCTGGCACCATGGGAAACAAATGTTCTCAAACACACACACACACACATATACACACACACACACACCCTCTCCTTACCCACGTTTCCCCTAATGGGCCCTGGCTTATGTTCTCCATTCTAACCAAACTTGCTAATGGTTAAGTTCTGGAAGGCTTATCAGCCACCACCTCTAAGCCTTTGCTTATGCCACTTACCTGCTGTTTTGGAATGAGTGAGAAGGACATTGTCTTCAGAGCATCTATTTCTCATAATAAGGTATCAAGTTTTCTCGCACCACCTATTGTGAAAAGTTGTTTATAAATAGGTTTTTACATATTCCTCGACTTCTCTCTCCTCTCTCCTAATAACTTACACGTTCCTTGAGGATAGGGACTGTCCTTCCCTTCATTTATACGTACAAGGATCCAGATGCATTTTTCTGCTGTGACAGTTCAATCGTATTATCTTTCAGTAGGAATAAAACCAAAAGATTTTTTTTTAAATTTTTTTCTTAATGTTTATTTTTGAGAGAGAGAGAGAGACAGAGACAGAATGTGAGTGGGTTAGGGGCAGAGAGAGAGGGAGACACAGAATCCGAAGCAGGCTCCAGGCTCCGAGCTGTCAGCACAGAGCCCGACGCGGGGCTCAAACTCACAAGCTGTGAGATCATGACCTGAGCCGAAGTCGGATGCTCAACCGACTGAGCCACCCAGGTGCCCCAAAACCAAAAGATTTGTATGGGAGTAGGGGATACAACTGAGAAACAGGTGACCTGTTCACTGTGGTACCTGTTTTCAGCCTGATACCTGCTAAGAATCATAGTACCAATTTTTTTTAATGGTGGAAAAATATATAGAACATGAAATTTATCAAGCTAACCACCTTTACGTGTGCAGTTCAGTGCATTACATACATTCAACACTGTTGTGTTGTCACCACCACCATCCATCTCCGTAATTCTTTATATTTTGCAAAACTGAAACTGTATCCATTAAACATTAGCTCCTAAGCCCTCTCTCCCACCTCCAACCTCTGGCAACTAGCATTCTGCTTTCTGTCTCTGTGAATTTGACTAGGTTAGTTACCTTGTGTGGGTGGGATCATGCAGTATTTGTCCTTCTGTGACTGGCATATTTTACCCAGCATAATGTCCTTGGGGTTCATCCAGGTTGCAGCATGTGTTAGAACTTCCTTCCGTTTTAAGGCTGCACATTACTGATTTTTGAGAGGGAAAAACAACTCTGCATGTATGTCTTGACAGATTATTTATTAATATGTCATTCTAAACATTACATAAATACAGCCTATATACTAGAGTATCAAATATTATTCCAGTAAGAAGTTCAAGAGTACAGTTAGGGTTATCTTAAGAAATATGAATACTTTGGCTTTCATTATCACATCAGATGAAAAAAACAACTCAAAGAACAGTTTTCATTTCCTGCTATGATTAACAATGAAACCAAGTAGAAAAATAAGAGTGTATTAAAAAAAAAAGATACTCAAGTACTTTTCAAAGAACGTATTTCCATGTTCTTCACTACATACACACTCATACAAATTACTCGGTAATCTGAGAAGTGGTTCTTTACCTATATAAGGAACCTCAGTAAATATTTGTTGAATGAATGAACAATCTATGGAAATGGATCTACTACTTTAATTTGTGCTTTAGGTTTTTTTCAAGTAAGAGCAATAGTAAACATACCGCAGGTCTTGTTTTGTCCAGATCATAAGCCTATAGAACAGTGATTGTTATGAACACCACCCATCATAGCTAATAATCAAATTAATGTGCATTCATCAACCTAGTAAGAAAAATTCTATCATGTTGCAGAACTAATCCTAATTAATAACTGACTGGGCTTCAATCACTTGCAACATGGTCAAGAAAAGGGAGCTGGGACTTCTAGGTTTGAATTTATCTCACTTATCAATGAATTCCTATCTTTGGGCCCTCACTCCCATCCAAACCCTCAGACACACTTAGAAACACTGCTAAAAATAGTAGCTGCAGCATATCTTCACTCTCTTGTTAATTTGACTCTGAAAATGTATTTGGGCTCCAAGTTCAGATGAGGGACCTTCCAAACAGGAAACCGTTCACTAAGGGAATGCCCACAAATGGAAATGAGTCTGTGAGCCAGAGAGAACAAAACTTTGTTCTTACAGCAAGCTCAACAGACACACACGATAAAACTCAGAGTTGAACACTCTTCCTCCAAAAGTCATGTTCATAACCAGACCAAAAAAGAAACAAACAAACAAAAAAACCCAAAAAACTTGAACTTAAAAGGATCCTATTTAAAAAGATCTTTTCAGGGAAATCATAATTTTGATCCTTTTTCAAAGTTATATTGTGCTAAATATTATACCTAACACAATCAAAAGACGAGGAAATAAAAAACGAAAGCTGGAGTTGCAAACAAGCAAAGGTGTGACACTTGGCCTATAGATAAAAGAGAGAAATTCTATGAAGTCCTGCCAGAAAGCTGGTTTTAAGAACACCTTGTGAGTCAGATGTAGTGGATCTGATCGTCTAGCAGCCATAATCTAGGAAGGCAAGAGTATGCTGAATATGCCATTACTTTCTTCTCATGATTAGCGTTTATGGGGGAAACGGTGGGGAATCAAATTTAAACTTCAGCTCTTAGACTGTATCTTAATAAAACAAAACACTGTTGGATAGTAGTGGATACTCTATAAAATATTGACCTCTATCCAAAGTTTCTTTCGATATCAACTTTTTACAGGTAGTCCTAAATTACTACTCTTTATGGACTTAATTCTTAAGAGAAACCTTGGCTAGCCTACAAGTTTATCTTTGCATAATCATCATCGTAATAGGCTTAACTCATATTAAACTGAATATTGTTTTTTGATACACGATGAAGTTAAAAAAGGTCCTCAGTAGTACAAACACACACAAAAACCTCAAACTGTCTTCACTACTCCTTCACAGTACGGCTAGTGAGCTAGCAACTGATGCAGCATTTCAACAAGCCCCAAAGTCAGCATCTTCAATTCAAGGTGGGGCCTCTTATGTCTATCTCACAATCCACAAACCATCCCAGTTCCTGGGGTCGAAAGGGTTGTTACTATGTGAGCCAGGAGAATTACCGCAAACTTCTCCTTTCCAAGTTCAGCAGTTCCTCTAATCAAAAACAAAACAAAACAAAACAAAACAAAACAAAACAAAACACAAACGACCAGCTAAACTTTCACCCCTTTACAATGTTCCAGCCAAATTAAGGTCACATTTAAAATGCACATATCTGGAAACAAGACTTGTTTAGAACGGGTTCAGGAAAAGCTGTACATCCTTCATACATTCCTACACGGAGAATGGTGTCTCAAGATGTGAAAAACAAACAAGCTGACGGGTTTTTTACCTGCAAAATTACATCACCCGCAGAGCACAAAGCAGCCACCATGGCCAGTGCCCCAGAGCATTCACAAAACCCAGCAGCCTGGGGCTTCAGTTCTTAAAGGCTCCACATTTACTGGCTTTAGCAATGAATTCCTTTAGCAGAGGGCCATCCATTTGCCAAAATGCTGCAGTCTGTGTAACTTCTGTCAAATGATTGATGCAAAACTTAAAGCAGAATTCTTCTAAATCCTGGACACACACAACAAAAATAAAAACAAAAAGAGGCTTTTTTTTATTAACTTTGATCAAATTACTTCTATCCAAACCCCTCATCCCAAATCTTTCACCCTCCCCTAGAAAAGATATTTGAGGCCAGAAACCTCAAACTAAGCAAACAAGTGACTGTACATAGGTCGGCATCAGAAAAGCACGTACTATTGAGGCGCCTGAGTGGCTCAGTAGTCGGATGAGTGTCCGACTTCAGCTCAGGTCATGATCTCACTGAGAGTGAGTTCGAGCTCTGCGTCGGGCTCTGTGCTGACAGCTCGGAGCCTGGAGCCTGCCTTAGATTCTGTGTCTCCCTCTGTCTCTGCCCCTTCCCCGCTCATGCTCTGTCTCTCACACACACAGAAATAAACATTAAAATTTTTTTTTTAAATAAAAAAAGAAAAGCACGTACTATTTAGTCACAACACCTCCCCTACCTCAAGTCTGACTCTCTAGAACGTACACCCATTCACAGAGCCTATGGGGGGACAGCCTCCGCATGGCTGTCACACAGTCCGGTCACATGCAAAGACTTTAACAAGCTGAAAGCGTACACCTGAAACTAATACAGTATTATACGTCAATTCTTCTTCAATAATAATTAAAAACAAAGCTGAAAGCAACTTTACTCCAATGTATGTTTGACCACAGTCAAGTCAGAGAAAAGAATTAAGATGTGGGTTATTTAGCTTAAGGAAGACCTTAAGAAATACAAAAGTGATGAAGAGATGTCCTAAGGAGACACATAAAAAAAAAAAAAAAAAATTCCACAGACCTTAAATTCATTTTCACACTCTCCGAGATAAAAATGCCTTCATTGTTAAAGCCACAAAGAAAGACACACTCCCACTCCCACACACTAATTTCTCAGATAGTCGGTCCAGAGGAAAATATTCAGTCTGGAGTTTTCACTCAGACAAAAGAAGTCATCAGCTACCGACATCCAGAAGTAATATATACAAGTGTTAAAATTTTCTGCCAATGCTAACAGAGCCTTTCATCCCCAGCAAAACACTACCATGTTTGTTCCTTGAAACGCCGGAACACGTATTTATTAAATCCATTAGGTACTGGAATGTATACAAAGACTAACTATATAACAGCAAATCACACTAAAAGCTCTTATCACCAATACCTTGATTCTTGTAACTTTGCCAGCTACACTGAAGGTCAATACTCAGGGTTCTATCAAACCAGGAACTGGACAACATTTAAACTGCAGCGTCTTGGCTTCATGTTTCCAGCCACCGTGCAATGAGAATGTCAGGCAGAATGGGGAAGGACCCACACAAACGCAGAGACACGTCTCCTTTCTACTCTCTCATTGCAGACCCCTGCGAACAAATACTTCCCTATTCTGAGGGTCCCTCTGTCCCTAGCTGAATGATGTCCCCTTCCAGTCATATAACCAGTAAGAGATAAACCACATCTAATGTGTATCAGCCAGCTGCTGACAGAGTTTTGCTTTCTAGAGAATTCATAATGCATTTAAAATATCAGCACAATCTCCAGATCCACGTTTTTAAATAAGAGATTCCCAGTGGGTTGAAGTACAGCTGAATGTTCCGTGTGTTATAATAAACTAGAATGTTAAACTATATTAAACATTCCCTCTCAATTATTGAAGAAAAAGTCCTACTCCTGGTATAATAACCCAACGATTAACACACAGCTTTGGGACTAAATTATATTCCACAAGGAGAGAAAAGTCATTTTTATCTTATTTATCAAAAAGAGACAACTAGTTTATCTACGCATATTTTAGGAAGAAATAACCAGTCATAAGCACAGAAAGTCTCTCAAACCATCTAATGTATCAGATGAGGATCTTTAAATATTGACTCTTAATTATACAATTTCAAATTCAAAGAAGATTGCACTAAATTCTGGCACTGTAAAACCTCATTACAGTGTCTACAGATCCGGAATTCAAGATCTTCAGAGGTCAAACAAGGAGTATATCCAAAGACTATCTTGAGTATAAACTCTGAAGAACTTTTTATATAGCACAGGTACACAGACGGCACCTCTAGTTATAAATCACTTCATACATTTATGAAAACAGCTCTAGCAAACCGTCTTCCCTTCCCCTCCAATGAGTCTGAATTGGTAAGATAGCTCAGTATTCAAAAAATGTTTAGCAGTTTCAAACATTACAAACCTGACTAGTGAATCCTGAAAATAACCTAAAGCTGGGTTGTTTAAAGAACTTATTTAATAACTGACTCTTGCTTAAGGCAGATCTATGGAAAAGGAAGCACTGAGTGCCCTTGGAGAGAGAAACTGGATATGCAAGCTCACCTGCATGAACAGAGTGGCACAGTCATGCAACTCACTTAGCAGCCGATGCCCTGAGCCAGCCTGCCTCTGATGTGTGAACGAGATCAATATTTTCTTGATAATTCTTGAATATTTTGAGAACCTACATGATCTGTTCACCTCACTCTGCAAATGTGTCACATCTTCAATTAACCAGAAAAGAAAATACAACACTTACCCAACTGGTAAGTTAACTGTAACAGAACTGCTGGGCTTTGTATAAAAGCTTATATATGTTTAAATGTTTATATAAAACATTTCCAAGAAGAATAAAAAGGATTACTTGACCCGTAGATGAAAAACGTTCATAATAGAATGAAAGCCTCTTCTTAAGGCCAACGGAATATAAAAGTGGGAAAGAGTGTAAAATCAGGGGCTCTAATACAATATTTTTGGTATATCAGAAGTAATTCCATATTCATCACATTTTGTGGTGAAATTATTATAAAGTGGCTCTGAGGCAAATCAGATAAAATGTCAGATTTGTTGTAATTAGCAAGGAAGATCAAAATAAATTGCTACTCTAATTTATAAACTCATTCCAAATTTTTCAATGTTTAAATTAAATTATTCCAATAATTTATATATTCTGAGAATGAGTCATTTTTCCTTTCCACAGATTTTCTTAAAACACAATCGATGGTCTAAATATCCACATTTTAAAAAATGCTATTGCAGCCTAAATGGAGTTCTTATCCAGTCTTCAGTCCTCCAAAGCTAAAATAGTCGAATGCTAATTTTTCTATAGAAGGCTACTTGGCCAGGATGAGACAGGCTACCTATGTGTCACAAGCCCCCCTTGAGACATATTCTGGATGGCAAGAAATTGTGAACCACACCTAACTTTGCCCAAAATTATTGTTAAAGTAGTAATAAAACAAACCCCCAAAACTGTAAGTTTAGAATCTGTTTCCTAGTATATCAGGTACAAAATATTCCATATCAAAGTGGTCTCTAGTTTTTAGAATGTGCTTAAAGTCTTTTTTTTTAATGTTTATTTATTTCTGAGACAGAGAGCGCGCGTGCGCGCGTGCAAGCATGAGTGGGGGAGGGGCAGAGAGAGGGAGGCAGAATCAGAAGCAGGCTCCAGGTTCCGAGCTGTCAGCACAGAGCCCAACGCGGGGCTCGAACTCACAAACCGTGTGATCATGACCTGAGCAGAAGTCAGTCGCTCAACCGACTGAGCCACCCAGGCACCCCTACAATGTACTTACAGTCTTAATAGGACAAAATAAAGAAAAGGCACTCTCACTAACCAAAAAATACTTTACAGTTTACTGATCACAGAAAACTGTTAATTTTGTGAAGAAGAAAAAATGCTGGCCATATGGTTTTAGCGCAAAACTTTCAACACCCATATCCCAAACTAATTCTGGAATTAGATTCCTGGCCTTATATTTATTGCTTCCAAGAGCAAAATCTTAGGACTTAAATTGCTAAGCAAGGAGGATTTTCTGGCAAACTCTCCACTCTGGGTTCAACAAATAATACTTCCCTCCCAACTATTTCTCCTGATGTTCAGATACACTAGGGGGTGCCTGAGTGGCTCAGTGGGTTGAACAGATCATATCAGGTCATGATCCCAGTGTTGTGGCATCAAGCCCCGCGTTGGGCTCTGTGCTGAGCGTGGAACCTGCTTAAGATTCCCTCCGTCTGCCCCTCTCCCAGCTTGCGTTCTCTTTCCAACAAACAAAAAAACCCCAAAAACACACAGAAAACAAACATTTCCTGAAAAGAAACTGTATAAATAGAAACATTTCAAAATTTGTGTAATAAGATACTAACTATCTTGATACAATGTTTTTTTCACATCTACTCCCTTGATGGCAACATTTATTTGGGTTTGTACTGGAGGAATTCTGAAGTGCTCCTCTGCCAGGTTGTTCTTCAGTTAAAACTTGGAGGAAGACTGACAGTGCATTCAGAATGCCGGGGCTCCACAACAACCAGAAAAATCTTCCTAACTACTGAGCCAATACATTTTTGTTGCTTTTATGTGTGTCTATTTGCTGCAAAATTACCTTGTCAAAAGGGGGTATGGGGAAACCACAAGAACTTACAGGAAACAGAAAAAATGTGAGAAGCTTGTCTTCCATCTTCCTAGCATTTCAACCACAGAATGAAGGCAAAGTCATCTAGTCTCCCTAAGCGGAGCTTCTGAAAGTCAATATTTTGGTGGTAAATTTCTAATCTTAGTGGCAGCTTCCCATCAACTTATAGATACAGCTAGTAGGTTTTATTTTTACATTTAAACACTTCATTTATTTACTTACTACATTCTATTGCATTAAGGGAAATACAAGGTAACTCCTAGAAGAATCCACCCCCCCCAAAAAAATACAGCCTAGAAAGAAAGAAGTGATTCTTTCTCTTTTTGTCTTCTACGTTCCAAGTTTTCTACATTGAATGTATTAATATTTGGGGGGTTTGGAGTTTTATTGTTTTCTTCATTTTTTAAAGGACACCTTCATGGCAAGGTGTTTCAAATATATTCACTCATTCATTAAACTCAGCATACATTCTTGAGGGCCAACCATATGCCCACACTGTGCCAGACTCAGGGAAACACATTTGCAGTCTCAGGGAAGAGTTGGTATCTAATGTCTATACTTAGCATGAGAAAAATGAAAGCTAATTTAAAAAAGTGATCAGCTGGCACAGGTAGAAGTGCCATAAGGTTTTTTCCTGGAAACTTGATGGGATAGGTTTTAACTTAAAATGAGAAATTTCCAGCAACTAGAGCTGAGATGTTTGCCTCTGCCCAGGTGGTTCTAACTTGTTTTAATCAGCAATATCCTAACCCCTAGAATATGGAACTCATTAGTAGTAAGGAGAAGGGAGAGATACAGAGAAGATGCTAAGAGTGAATTACCAAATGGACAGAAAGGGCACTGACCAATTTAAAATTACATCACTAGGTAGAAATGCAACCTAAAGGGCACTTCTAATAAATAAGTTCATGGTGTCACAGAAAAGGCAAGAAAAAAATCTAGACATCCATTTCCTATTAGAAATAATTTAATCACCAAATCTGCTGTCAGGCCACAGAGAAAGTCAACTATATTTGACCTTAGCAAATATTTATGATAATATAATTTCAAATAAAAATAGGATGCACTTTGAAAATACAAAACATAATGGTCCATTTGGATCCCTAAGTTTGATAAAGGAGAAGATCCCTGCAGGTGTTTGGTAAATCTCAATACCGCGTACTCTGCCTTGTCAAATGATGACAAAATACTACCTCTAAGAACGGGCTAATTGTGTCATTAAAGGTGTATGCCTTAGCTGGACTCCAAGGCTGTTGCTCTCTACCTTATATTCTCTATAAATTTATAAAACCAACCGTACCAGACTTTAGTTCACTAATTATCCTTAATGTATCCTTCAGGTGGTACCATATTCATTCAGTTCAACAAACATTTATCATCCAGTGCCTACTATGTGCCAGGCACTACAGAATACAGAGAATAAGAAACAGTTCTGCTCACAAGAAGCCTACAATATGATGACGCTCTGATTCTTAACTTCAAGAAAACACACCAAATGCAAAATTTCAGACTCTCAAAAGGCCATTCATTCATAGATTCTTTAGAGACCCGTGAACCCCAGATTAAGAATTCAATCCAGTGCAAAATCAACCATCCACAACAAACACACAAATAAAAAGGAGTCCAGAGCAAGCTCTTCGCACATGAATCATTATGAGTTACAATCAGACAATGATAGAATTTCAGAGCATACACAGATACGAAATTACTCATGTTCCTTGTCTCATGCAAGAAAAGGGTGGGAGGCAGAGCACAGGGAGCTGGAGGGGTTGGCTTCAGTTTGCTGTTTATGTTACCTCTGCATCGTATCTGACTGCAGCAGAGAATAAAGAAAAGGCATTCTCCACCGTAATTCCACGCTTGATAATGTGCTGACAGAGCTTTTTCAGCCGGTTTTCACAGTAAGACGTGGCCAAGTCCAAAAGACCTAAAAACAAAAAAGAATTTCACCAAGTTTATGATATTTTGCCTTAATTTTTAAACATATATATTTCATTTTGGTGAAAAGAGTTACGGAGATGAATCAAAAGTTTCTTAATGAATGCTACCCTAAAGGTTATTAAATAGATCCTCTTTTTCACTCCCCTCCCCACCCCAGAACAGACCTCTCCCTACACTCGCTTTATACAACTTCCTCTACAGTACAAAAGAAGGGGAATAAATGGAATTGCCCCCCTTCTTTTGTTTCCAAGAGGATACACTAAATGCATTAGCAACGTATTAAAAATTAAAATATTACAAAATTAAAAATTATTAAAATTAAAATAAGTCCATAGCCATAAATAAACTAGGTCTATAATTGTGAACCGTAACAACTTATACAATACTATTTTTAAAGACATTTACTTCAAATATTTTCTAAAAACCATGTAAAAGCCAACTGAGTTGAAACTTTTTACACTTCAGTACTGTGAGAACGTGGAGGGAGAGATTTTTGCTCGTGAGGCCTGGCCCGTCCCGGTGGCTGAGGTACCTATAGCATCTTCAGGTGGCAGGTCCACTGTATCTGTGTAGAGGTACTGGAGAAAGGCACGGTACACTGGGTAAGAAAACTGGTCTATTTCTATCACCTCCTTCATATCCTCATTCCAGTAAGACTGGAACATGGATCGAAAGTGCTCACACCTAGACAGAACAAGCAAAGTTATCTAATGAAGTTGACGAAATCCAACAACTCTTACAGGTCTCCCTACCTACTACTATATTCAGGCCCACACTCACAGGCTTATGAATCTTTAGCTAGCACAGGCTTTTACATTCACCTTCTGAATCTATTCACTTGCATTTTCTGATGGGCATCTCCTATTAAATACTAAGGATTCTAAGTAGGGCCTAGAAGTACCCAGCCCTTCAGGTGCACCACTGTTTGCCTTTGATAGTCCTCATCCAGATCAAGGATTTTGCTCCCTCGTTTTTCTTAACAAGATTATACAGAAATGCATTTCAAACAGTGAAATTAAAGGAAATTCAGAAATGAGAGTTCAAATCTTTGACGATACATCAACATCATTCAAATAACTCATTTGGTTTTTAATTTTCAAGTAATCAGCATATTCTTAAAACCGCTTTCAATGTTAACTGGATCACATTTAGGCTGATGATTATCACATTACCTCACATGACAATTTTCCTCCTTTTCTGACTCATCTCCAAAACAGCCATCAGTCCTGTTTTGTTCCTCTGCTTTGACCTGCTCCCTCTCCAATACACCCAAGTCTGTTACTAACTTACTCAGAAAAAACATTCACTAGGAAAGCCACAGATTTTTTAAAAAATCTAAGTGGGTCTTTTTATGTTATCTTTGCATGTAAAAAGCCACCTACATGCAAAATTGATTTCTAAAACTGGGTTTTCTACATATTTCAGTTTTAAAAAATCATCTTTTCAAATCCTTTTAAAATGAGATACGGTATAAATAAACAGAATATTTTCAAAATCCATTCACAACCAAAAGAATGGCTCCATCTACATAAGAAATTACTTCATCTGAGAAGTTAAAAGAAATAGTTGTCTAGGCAAGGAATGACAAATGGGTCAGAAAACTATGCATGAAAGGAACAGACTAGTTGACCACAGGTTCCCAGAAGGAACATTTCCAGTCTATAATTTCATTCCTTTGGTTCAGATATTTACTCTCTTAGTAATGAATGATATATATGGCTTTTAGGTTCCCTTAAAACGTATTATTTTGTAAAGAGGTTTTTAACTACATTTCAAAAAGGACCAGTTTAACTCTATGGTCTCACTTCATGTGCCTCCTTCTCAGTGATGGCAGCCTTAGGGGGCAAGAGTCCAAACTGTTATTAATAAATACAAAGTTCCCTCACATTTATACAAATAACTCCCACCATTTACTATATCTAAAGATCATTCATTTATTTTTTTTTTAATTTTTTTTTTTAACGTTTATTTATT